TTTTATGTATACGTCACTTTGTGTTTATTAAATGAATAACTCATACTTTTTTGGTATTTCCTGATACAGCACATCAACCTGGCCATGGACTTGCTGCGAGATCGAGTTCAAAGACATCCAAAATCATTTGACGTCCATAGTCGAGTCATATTAAACATCGAATTCCTGCTTGCCGTTACCATAGAATATCAGTCGTTCTAACTTATAGGTAACTAGTACACGATGCCAGAATATATGCTCGAGTGGGTCATAGGAATGTCGTCGAGTGTTGGGAGAAAATTATGGAAGGGTTGTACATATATGTACATTTCAGCGTGCATCAATAATTACTATGTTACACTGGAGATCGTTTTTGCTGACACGACAATATATGTGTATGACCCAGGTCATTTATGTTTGACATAAGGCCAGCTGGAGCAAAACTTGGAGTCTATAATGGCCAATCGAGTAAGGATGACTGTACAGGACAGATTGCGAATTGTTCAAAATACGACGATAGCGCGACAATCCACAAGGTAAGTGTTTGAACTTTGTTATTTTCATTTTTCAGATTTAGTTTTTAGCTACACAATAGTGAACTGATCCATTCTTGTTCAATTGTAGCGACGACTGCGGCATATTTGCCATTAAGTACGTTGAATTTTTAAGTATAGGACATAAAGTTTATGGAATCAACCAATCGTGGTTACAAAATTGGAGAAAGAAGCTAGCTTGGGATTTGTTCGAATTTAATGGTGACCCGTAAATTTATATTAAATTTATGTAACATTCGAATTGTAAATTTAATTATTTTTTATGATTATAAAATAATTGTAAATTTGTGTTCAATATATATAACATTCACATTGAAAATTTAATTATTTTTTTGTAAGTTGATTTTTTGTTATTTTACACATATGCCGAGTATGAAACTATTTTTTCATATGAATCATTATAAATACCATTTATTTAAAATAAATATTGAACAATGAACATTTATGAAGAACAAATATTGAACAGTATAAAGTAAACAGAAAGATTATTCATTTAACATACCTGTCTAATTATCATTTAGGAGAATTTGACTAGTACAAAATTGTCTAATATGTCCTATGGCTCTGCACCTGCCACACCTACGCGGTCGAGGAAACTCTCCAGTATATGGTAATCTAGATATATTTGGACGTTCAGGACCACGCGGTTCAACTGCTGGTGGCAACAAATTATGAAACGGGAGAATGTGCTCGGGAACTTCCCACTCGGCTTCATTCGGTAGAGGAAATATAATCTCAGCATATGCTGTTCTCCAAAACTCAGTCGTATAATACAAAAAGCATAATATTCTTGTTGCAAAGCCTCGATACATAGCCACCGCAACTGTATGCTCACATGGAAAACTCTCCAACTGAAATCTCGTACAAGTACATGTATCAGTCAAGTCTACCATATATGCCGTGTTACGTGCACATTACACGGAGAAGCGAAACTCATCTAGTGCTTCCACATTCAACTTCCTCGCAACCTCTGTCGCCTTAAAGTGTTTCTCCTATTGAGCTGGGGCCAACACGCTAATGCAACTCTGTGATGCCGCGCATCGGTCATGAAACCACTATTGCAGTTTGTTACGAATATTCTCAATCATTACGAGAATTGATAACTCTCAATCCTTCTTAAAAAATGCATTGAGATACTTCGCATTATTCGACGTCATCATGTTGTATCGACGTCCTGGAAAGTATGACCGCACCCAATGTTCGATCCCCATATTTGTCAGATACTCCAACGCTGGTAATGATTTACTTCCTATCTCGAACATAAACTTATTACACTCTTCAGCACTATAAGTTTCGACTGCAGTCCTGAACAATGAAATGATGCCTTTGCCCCGATACCTAGTCTTCAAATTACCTTGTATATGGTACATGCAATACCCGTGATGTGCCTCGGGAAAAACTTCAGGGATACCGTTTATTATAGACTGTCCTCGATCGGTTACAAAGGCAAGATTTTCGACTTCCCCGATCACTTCCCTCGGTTTAGAAAAGAACCAATTCATGGACAGATCATTCTCGCTGTCGACTATGCCGAATGTAATAGGGTAAATTTGGATGTTGGCGTCTTGACATATAGCAATAATTAATTTACCTTGATATTTAGCTTTCAAAGTTGTACCATCAACTAGAATTACAGGTCGCATTGCATTTCGAAAATCTCGAATACATTGTCCAAGAGCCATGAAAAAATATTTAAAACAATTATCGCCCCCTGTCTCAATAAAAAATGTCGTGACAGGATTAGTTGTCCCCATGTTATGGCAATACTTGGCCAATTTAGCATAACTCTCCTCAGTCGATCCCATTAAATCTTTCAACGCACATTCTTTGGCCTTCCAGGCTTTCTGGTAGCTCATGACCACTCCATACTCTCGACGAACGTCGTTAATGATGTCCGAAGGTCTGTATATCGTTCGTGGGTCCTGATACTTGTGCATTATCTGTTGACCAAAAAACCATGTTCGAGCTTGCCTGTGATTATTTCGACAAATTCTCACTTTGCAAGTATGTTCCCGTGCATATTTGCGAACTACAAAACACTCATTCGTGTTCATCTTAGTCATTCTCAAGCGCCAATTGCAATTGTCGTCAATGCAAGCAACTGTCAACAATGACTTGTTGATTTCTTTACCTTGAACTTAAAATTATATTTTAATGGCGTCCGGTGCACAGCTTCCTGCAAATCTTTTTTGGTTTCAAATAGTTGCTCGACGTACAAATCCTCATCATCGGGAGCCACACGTAAAGAATTGGAGGACGGTCCGCTTGTTCCACCCCCTGAGCTCTCATCCCCCTCAGGTCTCTGTTGGGATAAAGCAATTAAATCTTCATTTGTAAAATCATTTATATTTTTCGTTGTCCTCACTGTCAACAAAATTCTGTGCGTAATAGTGACTTCACGATCAGTAGCAACTGTCTCGGGCATAACCATATCATCTGCAGGAACGATCTCCACTATCTCCCAAAAATCTCAATCATTATTATCCGCTCCATCTGAATCTTCGCGTTCACCTTCGACAACATCCTTCTTAACTAAAGTCACGCCAATAACAGTCGGAGTCCTATGCATTTTATTCAATTCTAATAGATAATTCAATTCAGCATCATTAATAATAAATATAGGTGGCATCGGAATGGACGAATCCCCATAACCATTGAATAAATATCTCAGATGCATATCGTACTGAGAAGAATCAACATTCAGCTTATTTTGCAAATTCTGGTACACTTCTGCATATGATGTACTCTCTGTTACAAGAATTGCAATACAACCACGTACATCTCTTGTCCATCTCCATTTCCATTCAGTTCAAAATCACTGAAATAACAGATTGGGATTATCATATCTACATGACGATATAGAATTTCTAAATCAATTACAACAACAAAAATTTAGATATTTAATCGATTTGTAATTAAAATTATAAGACAATTGCTAAAACAGAAATTAATAATAAAATAATTTCGTAAAACAGTCGGGAAAAATAGCTGACTGTGGACTGTTTTACAGCCGACAGTCGGCTATTAATGTGAGAAACAGCCGAATATCTGACAGCTGTGGTCGACTGTTAGACAGTCATCTAACAGCCGAAAGTTTTTTGACGGTCGGTTGTCTGCTGTCTAATAGTTTTCGTTAACATCCCACAGTTAATCGTCGGATTATTTATTTTGCGTATGATTTTTTATTTTTTTATGGTTCTAAAGAAAAAAAATTATAGATCTGTTAAAAAAAAATTCTAGTAACTACTGTGTTCTCTAACTACTCAAACGTATACTAATTTACTGAAATCGAAATTAAGCATGTGTAAAAATATACTTACCGATTTAAAGTAATTGATCTGAAAAAATTATGACTTCGACATTTGAAGGTTTTTAATATTTTGAGATTCAAGCAGATGAAAAATGAGAGTTTTTCTGTGTTTGAAGCTTATTCTGCAATTTTATAAGTGGGGAAGTGTTTGATTTTCAATTATTAACTAAAAAAGTAATAATGTCTTTTAAACTATCCAATATTTTGTAATTACATATTATATTTAAAGGCAGCTTTGTCTTTTACCATTCAAGAGGTTAATGTGATAATTTTCAAGTTTTTAAAAGTCAAAGTAAAAATAAGGACATTTGACTAGGTCAATTTTAAAAGAACCCCCCAAGATGTATCACTAACTAAACAATAGAATAAGAATAATGCTACTTGTACAACCGATAGAATAATATTATTTATTGTGAGCAACTATCGTATATAATTGAGTGATTAGATTTATGCCACATAGGACGTCCACGGTAGTCATTCACTATAAATATCATTCCTCAAACAGTATCATAATCTAGATTAATTATTTTCAAGTTAAAATTGAAAATTATTCCTACGTTTTCCTCTTTTTTTTTTTATTTGAACCGTAAAAGCAACAAAGTTTAGCCCTTGTTCGGTAGGAATTTTGAGAATTGATTTTAAGACCGTTAAGAGAAAAGCGGAGGCCACCTATGATAGAAGAAGTCAAAAATTGCAGCTGAAATAATGAAATAAAAGTCAAAAAATCAATTTTTGGGGTGAAAAATCACTCCCAATCACCCCCTTAATGGTTCACCCCCTTAATGGTAGCATCGAGGTTATTGCTCACATAAATACAATGATCAAAACTTGTTATTGATTAGTTGTTAAAAAAAATATTATTATGAGTTGTAACTCAATGATACGAGACCAGAGGTATGAGAGGTCGTTCTATAATATAATTAGTACTGAATGATACACGTCTGATACATAACACTAGACTGTCCTGAAAATTGAGGTGAGACCGAAATATGTAACAACATTTGTAATCAGATTTTTCTGGTAAACAACTAACAAGAGTTGTGCATATGGAACATAATTTCTGTTGTCTCGGCTTGGTCATCCTACAACTGTTTTATTGTTAATCAAATAAAGATTACATNGTTGTGCATATGGAACATAATTTCTGTTGTCTCGGCTTGGTCATCCTACAACTGTTTTATTGTTAATCAAATAAAGATTACATAGAACTGTATTATGATCTGTGACAATATCAGCATTTTGGGATGAAAAAAATGACTTTCACATTTCTATTATGCATGCAAAATAGCTTAATATGACATGTTCTAAGAAGTTATATATACTAGTCAATAACTAGTATCGACCTCTCAACTTCAATGGCAGAGGTTGAAGGTTGATGCCATCAAGGATATAGGTTGAGAAAAATTCGACTTTTTACTCTCAGCGAATGCCTATTCTCCTGTTAGCAATTCAAAATCAGGTTTATACCTTATACAATTGTGCATCGAACAAAAATATCAAGAGAACAAATCAAATACCCGTTAATCCCAGAAACAGGACCGACTTCCTTTCTCCCATCAGCGCTGCATTGAATCTGCTTCCCTTGAAAGGAGGTTACCTTTTGTTTCACTACTTGTTTTATCTATAGAGAATTAAGAAAAAACATCATTTAATTATGACTGGCATATAGAAACAAATTCACAGAAGAGACTAGACTACTTTCATTAAGGCCATTAAAAGTACAAGAATATGTTACCTCATGTTCTTGCTGGAAGGAACTCCATCTATTCTCTTTTGATCCCTTATCACAAAATCAATTACTTAATCAAGAACGTGAAAATGAAGTACCTAACGTTCTTTATAAATTATCTATGAATAGGAATGAATAAATGGAACCTTAACAGATAAGCTGATAGGCAATGGCAATTTTGTGCGAGAACCAGCAGTTGATTGGTCAGATGTCAGAGAGAGCTAGTTCAAAAAAGAGAGAAGACGTGTCACAAAAAAAGCCCAATCGTGCAATGTTTTAATAGCTTAGAGCCTAACAAGAAGTGTCCGTGGATGCACTTCATAGTTGCAAATTAAGGAACATAGAACAGCACTTCATGGTTGTTTATGCAAAAAGATAACAAAAATAGAGGTAGGACAAAAATAGAGATAGGGTTCACAACTAGTTCTTTACTACAATTTCGAGATGGTAGTGATGGAGAGAGCATTACGACAATCAAGTAGATAAGCCATTATCCAAATTACCTTGTTTAAGAGTTCAATTGGTGGGTTATGTTGAACTCTCTTCTCTGTTCGGAAATTAAATTCCTGTGGTACATGCAAAACAATACTCATTACGGTGTTCTAGAAATATCAGTTCAAAAACACTAGAATCAGGTTTTGAATGCTAACTACCACTGGCACTGTAATTTCCTTCTTACAATTTCGGAAAACTCCAATATCTCCTTTGCTTGACAATATCTGCATGATACGGAACTTGTTTTCACCATCTGGAGTACAAAAAGTTTACACCAAGTCTAACGAAAGATGTTGAAAAAGTCACCTTCTGATTAAGGAGGAGTGCTTTAAATCCATAAGACGGCTCACACCCTTCCAGCCTTGAGGCATCCATAAGATTGGACCTAATGAATTGGCCATGTGGACCACATAATGCACTATTGTAGCCATTAATCAAAAGGCTAAATTTAAGAAGAACACAAATTGAAGTCCCAAGAACTAGAAAGAACTTTAGGACCCAGAAGATGTTCGATAAGCAAGCATAATTTATAAAGTTGCAACAAAATCCCCTGGCTTGACCACGGATTAACTTAAAAGGGGTAAATTTAACCTACAGAACCTTGGACGCTAAGAGGACATGAAAAGGATGTAGAAGTGTTAGTTCCCCATTGTAACGTTCTGAGTACCACAAAATTGTACAGAAACTAGCAAGACTTGTAACCACACTAATGATCACGTAACACAGAAATTGCTAAACTGACAGAAGTTTGTTAAAGCATTTTTACCTTCTGGATTCTCCATTTGCAGATTCCATGCATATATTAGCACTAGGTTCGTGCAAGGCCTGCAACAAGACAAGGTACTACATATCAATGAGTAAACATATTATTAAAACATTTCTCAACTACCATTGACATTATCATATCAGTCTTAGAGCCAGTTCCCCCCCCCCCCCCCCCCCCCCC